AAGTCGTATTTACATCTCTCAGTAGAGTTGACCAAGCACTTTAACAAACACAGGTTCATATTTCCCATTCAACAGGCAGCTTACTTACTCATTTGATGCCAACATCACCTTAAGTTCAAATACAGCAATTTAAACTACATCTGTAACTTGTAAAGGAGACAGATCTTGACTCCAAAAGCATCTGTGAGTTGATTGCCAGAGCTACACGTGATCCTGTTAGAACAGGATCTTTCCTTGTGCCTCTGCAGATCCACCGTCTGGGCAGGCGTGAATGACCGGCTTGTGAAATTCTCTATAAGAACCCCTGTGTCGTCATCTCCACTGTCTGCAAACTGCTTTCAAATGGATCTGGTTTCTTTCCTTGCACTTTATCTGTGAATTAGGCAGGGCTCAGACAGAACAAAACCATTTTATGAACAAGGGAAATGAGGCTCAGAGAGAGTGGTTTGCCTGCATCACTGAGCAAGGACGTTGCCAAGGCAGAACCCAAACCTGGATCTTCTGGCCCCAGGCCTTTGCCCTGCCCAGAGCAGGCGGGCCTCCTGGCTGGAACTTGTTGCCAAGGTCGGCCACAGAGCGGGGCTCATGATGGCTGCAGGTGGTGCTGAACTAGCCAGCAAAAGCAGTTATCTTTTCTTCCTTTGTTGGTGTTTTCCCTTTGATGAACTTTAAGGCAACTTGGCTAGTGTTTTGTGAACTTTCAGAGGGTGATGTGAAATGATACACCTTGTATTTCAAGTCTCAAGAAACTGTGTTTCTGAGTGTCTTGAGGGGTTTTGACTGAATCTGGGAGCAGCTGACCTAAGAATCTTCAGAAAACATAGCTGAGAGAATCTTAGCTCCAGACAGAATTGCCATGCTGGCTACAGGGTCTTGCCAGACCTCTCTTCTCTCTCTACTCCTCCCTCTCTCTGCCTTCATTCAATGAGTGGCATCAGCTTGGTCCCTTATTCACTGGCCCAGTGGCCAGTGTCATCCTCGACACTGGGGAGAAACAGGTGCACAAAACAGACTCAGCCCCAACCCCCATGGGGCTGACTTCAGGAGGGGGAACAGACAAACCACCCCTCCGGGAGGTAAGTAAACAGAAGGAATTCAGATTTGCTCCATGATGTGAAAGATGGGAAAGGGGTTGGAAAGCGTGCTTAAGGACGAGCAGTGGGGGACAGAGGTGAGTCCCGGGAGCTGACATTTGATCTGATAAAGGATGAAAGGAAGCAGTTCAGGTGGAAGATGAGCGAGGACCGAAGCCCTGAGGAGGAACGGATCTGCATGTGTCCAAGGAGCACTGATGAGGCCAGCGTGCCAGAGCACAGTGAGCTAAGGGCAGAGAGGCGTAAGATAAGACTGAGAGGCGGGCAGGGGCAACTTGTAAATTTGAATTTTATTCTAGGATCAATGGAAAAACCATTGAAGGGTTTTAAGCAAGGGGATGATATGATGAGATGCATATAGATTTACATCTAACTAGATAGATGGATAGATAGCTAGATAGACAGACAGATATAGATATAAATGGCTCGCGGTGTGAAGAAGCATGAGGAGAACCTAAGGGACAAGACTTCAGGCTGCTTTCAGTTTGGTTCTGATGACTGATGACACTGGCAGCTTCCGTCAGGGTGGTGAGAGGGTGAATGGAGTGAAGTGGACACGTTTAAGATTTCATCTGTAATTTCCGACGGATGGGATGTGGGGCCGTGAACAGCATCCTGACCTGACTGCAATAGCGTCCGCTGTGGCCAGGGGTGGGCAGCGTGGAGGGTCACCATGGGTGCAGGGCAGTCAGAGCGTGGCGGCCGCAAGACATCTGCGCATCCTTCCCGTCGAGGTCCCTGGGCACTGCCCTTCTTCCCTGGGGCTGTGCTTGGCCGGCTCTGAGGATGTGCGGTCGCTGACGTGCCTGGCACGTCTGCTGCAGGAACAGCGCTCAAGTCCACATCTTCCCTCCTAACCTTGGGTGGAAACCGTAGTGTCACACAAGGGTGTGTTTCGAAATTAGCATTTGAAAAGAAGCCTCCTTGCTTTCGGTCGGAGCTGACATGGTCCCTTTTCCTCTGTGGAAATGAAATTTATTAATCATAATAAAACCATCAGATTCTGAAGGTAGAGGTCACCCGGAGGAGGAAAGGGGGCTTTTCATTTACGAGGAATCGTTCGGGGCTGCTGTATTTTCCTCCTGCCTTGGAAGAGAACGCTGCCAAATTGTTACCTTGGGTTTTCCACAAAGGTTGAAGCTCTGCCCAGTATTAGAGACAAACACAAATTCACCATTAAACGACTCAGAAGGAAAAGGTGGGGGGCTGCATTTTCACGCAATGCATTCAGACGGCCGCTATGTTGTCTCCCTCAAAGACGGCATTTCTGCCACAGAAAAACCCGTCCCCAGATTGAAAACTGACAATCACTGTTCTGAATTCACATCTGCACGCTTGTTTTGAAGGAACACCACGCTGTGGGCTCGCTTTAGTCAACGGCCAAGCATTTTCCGTTTGCCTCCGCAGGTTGTGCCCTGCTCCCTACAACCAGCTTTGCCAGGGGGAGGTACCTTAAAACAATCCTATGAACAGCTTTTTGCTTTTTGTCTCTAGACCCACGGCAGAGCTGATTTTCTCATGAAATGAAAATCAATGCCAAAGTTATACATCATGTTCTTTCCCCCATTAGTATCTACTTCTACGTATGTTGGTAGAAACCCAAGTTTCATGAGTGACCTCCATGACTAAAACTTTTTTCAAAAACGTCATCATTCTTCTTGCCTTAATACACCCTGTCTTGGACTTACATCTATTTTTCCCTCCCAGAGAGGGAGAATTTTTTTAGGGTTTTTTTTCCCCTTATATTTTTGTAGGTTTTTAAAAAATTTTTTAAATTTTTTTTTAGGGGGGGAGGTAATTAGGTTTATTTGTATTTTTATTTATTTACTTACTTATTTTGATGGAGGTACTGGGGATTGAACCCAGGACCTCGTGCATGCTAAGCATGTTACTGTACCACTGAGCTATAACCTTCCTTCCCCGCCTAAAAGTTTTTTGATTAAAGGTCATTTTTGATGAGTCAAGGGCATGAAGGGTGTTCCGAGGAATGAAAAGCAAGAGGGTCAGGTTGACGATTTGTGAGTTTCACCAAGAGACTCATCTCAGAAAAGAAACATCCATTCGCGTCATTGCTTGTGAGGATCAGGAGAACACGGCTTCTCAAAGCAGGAAGCCTCCTGTGGATGATGGGAGTGCAGTGCCCTTTGAAACAGGCAAGGGGGGGCTTGGGAGTAAGACCTGGCCAGTGAGGACTTGGGGTGATCGTATCTGTTTTCTGTCTGGGGTCTACCTTAGACTGGGAGTTAGAAGGACCTTCACCTAGCCTCTTCCACCTTCCCAAGCTCCATGGTGTGAGATCCATCCCATACATTCTTACCCACTGACGACGAGAAAGAAGATGGTAAGGCAAGCAGGGAAAAGATAGAGATGGAGAGGAATAAAGTCCGTGCAAATTAGGCCCCAAGGTCGAGACTAGAAACTACTTCTTCCTGCCTTGTTCCTTCATTCTTTAAAGGGAAGTTTAAAAGTCAAAGAAGGTTGATAATTTACACATACCCCATGGAGTGGCTGGTCCACCCATCCCCCAGTTGCTCTAGACTATTAGTTGCAAATGGCACATAGCTGCCTCCTTCTTCAGAGACTTACCTTCTGCCAAAGAGTCCCTTCAACTCAGAGATTAACCTCTACCCCGCGAGGAAGCCCCCAGCTAATGCTTAACTTACACTAATGTTAACCAACTGAGCCACTTGCCTCCAGATGGGATCAACTCTGGGCTGTTGGTTGATTTCGGGATCAGATAGAAGCTAGACTCCAGCTCAGACCACATCCTTGATTGCCCCTCTCTCCTCTTGAAAGCACCCCTCAACAAATCAGATGCAGAAGAATCTCCATTTCAGACTGCTTCCAGAGACCCTAACCTAACCTAACCTGCATCTCAGCTCTGCTCATTACCAAAACAGCGATGTTCAAACTATTCCCAAGAAGGTATGTGGCAGGCCATTCAAGGAATGGTGCATGGAACCATGGAAATGGCATGAGAGTTTCCCTGAGAGATTCAAGGATCAGCTCTGACTCTGTCTAGCTCTGTGATCTTGGGCAAGTGACTCAACCTCTCTGAAACCTAATTTCTGATCTGTTGCATTGTTCAGTTCCAGATACTCAGTAGACATCCAATGCCTTAGGTTTCCATCCCTTCTACACTGGTATTCTAAAGCCTGTGCTGGAGGTTCTGGAAGTGGAGGGAACAGACGGTAGAGAGAGAGTGAGGGGGAAACAAAAAGGAAAACACAAAGATGAGGGAATGTCATCAAGAAATAGTCTGAAATGTGTCCCTTCCCAGAACCTGACTGTAGATTGATGAGATAGACATTCTGGGGTGATAAATCTGGGCTCAAAACCAAATCAAGCTCTAATTCTGGAGGGGGAGGTCCCACAAACCCTTCAAAGATGCTTCTATTTCAAAACATTTGCTTTCCCTTTCTCAGATGTTCGACCCTAACTGTACAGACCGGATCACTCCACCCTGTTTGACCCACCCTGTCTCGCTTGTGTGGTGACATCTACACTAGGAAAAGAGGACACTCTCTTGATTATAACCTGTCTCTTGTGGGTCCTGGGTTTCTTAAAACCATTCTTCCAAGCTATTTCTTCTGCCTGCCTCTGTCTTTGAAGTAGCTACGTGAGCAGGGTAGAAAGGGCTGTGTGAGAGAGAGGACACACACACACACACACACACACACACAGACACTACATACCTATGTCATCAGCAATGTTAAATGGACAAAGGAATGTCTTGTGTACAGACGGACTTTTCTCATGTTACGTGGCAGACTGGAGTATGTTTCTTATTTCTAAAGAGGAATAGGGCCCCTGTGCACTGTCTTGGTATTTTGTATTTTGTGGTTGTTATTATTTACTTTGTAATTGCCTGTGATGGATTAATCTCCACCTCTGTTTCCCTCGTAGTTACGGACGAGTTTATGCTACCGACCCCTACCACCACACACTTGCTCCAGCCCCCACCTACGGCGTTGGTGCCATGGTGAGTACCACTTCCTCCTCTTCCTCACTTCTTCCTACCTCCCATCCCTTCCCCCAGCTGGGACCTTAGTACGGGGGTGACGGCTGATGTCGTGTCACTTTCCCTTAATTGAATTTGTCTCTTGCGCTAACAGCAGCTAAAATGCCACATTAATCCTCCCAGTAAACTTGATAAATGTCTTAATTTCTTGGCAATGTAGTGCATGTAAGTTATTATATTTCTAACTTTGCAAGTCTCACCTAGCAGAGCACTTACCTTAATGGAATAATTAGTCATTTTGATAATTAAATCCATCACTAACAGAATGCAGTGTCAATGCAGAACTTTTTCTTTTTCTTTCCCTCCCTTGCCGCTCATTCACATAGCCCCAAGGTTCCAGCCCCAGCACAGACTTCAGAGGAGCTAAGCTGCACACTTCCAGGCCTCTGCTGTCAGGCAGCTGAGAATCTGACTGCCTCTCCTCCCCTATTACAATTCATGTTTAAAGTC